CATTTTCAGGAGATTGGATAGTGATATTTCATTGAAGTTTACAGTTTTGTGCTTGGTGTCAACTTACCTGATTTTGGTATTGCGTCCAATTCCAATTGGGACCTTGCCCTCTGCCAGGAGGGATGCAATTTCAGATTCAGTTTGGTAGTAGTCTGCTCCCAGCATTACAGTATCCTGTAAAAGGAAGGAAAAGGTCAGTTGAGGTTGCTAAAGGGAAATGGATTCAAATATACAAGCCTTTTTTTGTTTGCACTTTGGTAGGAAGAAAGTTGGAAACTCTGAAGATTCACCTGAAGCTCGACTCCATAATCTAAACGTGAGCGTTCACCTACTATTGAGTGTCGGACACTGCATTCTCGCAGGAAGCAGCCATGCGAGATTATTGCATCTACCATCTGCAGAATCCAAGAGAAGCATGAGACAGTTGATAGAAAAGTGCTATGAATTAATCAAAAGCTTGCTATCATACCCGACAGTTGTCAATTTTGGTTGGTGGTAAGAACCGAGGAGATGTATAGAAAGGTGTCTTTGGATCATAAAACTCAAACTTGGGCGGCTGCATAAAGAGACATTACCAGAGATTAATAGGGAACAAGTTGTCAATGAAAAGAAATTCAAATGTTGCAACAAGAGGGTATGAACAGGCATATGCCCCTTTCACTAGGAGGGCAACGTTAATGCCTTTTTTACTTTCCTCAGGTCACATAACCCACCATTCTGACATACCATCTTGTTTTCTCTGTAATGTAACGATTTTTTAACTAAAGTACAAAACTATCTGTTTGTGTCTAATATTCAACAAATTCGTGACATGGGGACCAAACGGATAGAAAATCCATAGGATGCCTTGTTTATAATATTGAGACCAACCTCCTCAGTGAGGGCCAAGTTAGCTTCATAAAAGGTCTTTATCGTTCCAATATCCTCCCAATAGTCTCTGAAAACATACGCCTGCCAAAACAAGAGAGATTGCACACATGGTGTACCTTTTCTTCATCATACATTCAATAATCAAGATGCTTTGTTCCACTTTCTTAGCTCTCTTACCTGGACATTGTGCCCCATCACTGCAGAGGGAATAATCTCAGATCCAAAGTCATTTGAAGAAGGATATGTCCATCTCAAGAGCTTTAACAGAACATCTGTCTTAAATACATAGATTCCCATTGATGCAATATAAGGGGAATTCAAGGCTTCTTCATGAGACAAGCCTAGAAGAGTGGTATCCACTTGCTGCAAGAATCATCAAAAGACATGTCATCATATTAAAATCCTTCCTACAACATGAGAATAAAACGTATACATGGACAAAGACATAACACAATTAAAAGGTAAACACTTTAGTAAATACTTCAGAAATAGAAAACAATCTCGCCAGTCCAACCACAAGAACTGCCTATCACTCACCATTGCTTTCAGATCAGCTCCCTTTGGCTTTTCAGCAAACTGGATAATTTGGCCTCTGTTATCCATCTTCACCAATCCGTAATCAGATGCCCGGCTGGAAATTACCCATTATCAACTTTAGATGAATTTATGGCCTAAAAAATAACTTTAAAATAATTTCAAGACTAGTTACTGGAATAATTTAAAATAAATAAACACGCATGACATAAATAAAAAATTTTCCTTCTCACTGAATTGTCCTAAACCAGTAAAAGCTGCAATATTGAATAATGGAAGAAAGCATAGTTAGAACAACATTATCAAAAAGAAAAAAGACTGAAAACCACCTCTCGCCAACTGGCCTGCATGAAATTGTGATATCAGCATCCCTGTCAACATGACTCTGTTACGTAATGAGAACAAATGAGTGGAATTTTCAATAACTCTATAGTAAAAATCAACCCATTCAACTAGGAGAGTAATTAATACCTGAATGAAGTCCATATAATCCATTCGATAGAGATGATCCCCGCACAAGATCAATACATTTTCAATGTTCCTGTTCTTAGCATCCTACAAGCACAAAGAATGTAATTATGATATTACGTTTCAGAATAAGGAGGAATGAATAATTTCAATTCTACTATTTCAATTGATTTCTGAACTAGAGGTGATACTTCAAAAGTTAACAAAAGCACAAGTTCGTACCTCAAATACCCATATAAATTGCCTCACAGCATCTGCTGTTCCTTGGAACCACTTCTTCCCAGCTTCCCCTGATGTTTGAGTAGCTGCCAAAACCTGTTTATTGAATGAGTTGATTAGTGATTAAATAAAACAGGAAGCTGCAATAGCATTACTCATAGGTCATATTAGCAGATTCAGGATTTCATACCTCAACAAATCCATCACCATAATTGATACCATTTCCAAAATACGTCCGTGCAAGGTGCCTATTGAGAGAAGCTGAGTTAAACTGGGTCAAAACAAAAATCTTGTTTATGCCACTGTTGATGCAGTTGCTCATCGGAATGTCTATCAGCCTATAGCATCCTCCAACAGGAACCTGCAGTCCATGTTCAAATCAAGAAATCCACAATCAATTTAGTTAAAGTGGCACAATAAGATATTGTATAATGGGAATGCAAAAATTCAACAGAAAAACACCAATTTTCACAACTAATAAATAATACTGGATGGTGTTGCTATGGTTAAAAAAACAATCTTGACAAAAACCAGTGATTTTTTTCCTGTTATTGAATTAAGAAAACTATATATGTTCTTACAGCAGGTGTTGCTGCTCTTCTGGTAAGTGGATAGAGATGAGTTCCTGCACCTCCTCCCAATATAATGGAGGCTACATTTTTCGGGTTCACTTTCCGTCTCTCCAACCACGGTGGTTGCACCTTCTGAAACAGAATTTAGAAACATAATGAAAATGAACATCAAAACCAAAATTACACAGCATCCGCATCTCTTTCCATAAGCCTATACAATATACAGCAATCAAATCAAATCTGCAACTCTTTCCATGAACTTATAGAGCAACCAATTACAAAACAATCATCATGCAGACAACAAAGTAGATTGTGTGAAGGAATTCACTTACCACCGCCTCTCTGGTATTGCTTGAAGTAAGAATAGCAGAAATCATCCCGGATTTGTTCTTCTTTTCTCCTGAATCAGTTCTCAAGTTCTTAGCAACCTGATTAACCCAAACACTGTTGCTCAGACTCCCTCTGATCCTCTCCCCCCAAAATCCATTGTCTACATTGTTGAAGCCACCTTGGCGCCCTCCTAGAACAGGAGAGCTGACTTTGAAGGCCACACATGCAGAATCCATTCTGTTTCCTCACTGCTAAGAACGTATGACCCCAGATGATAATGGTGGGTCAGATATAACGAAAGCAGATCCTCTAATCTAAGAAACCAAGTAAAGTATAGATCACATTAAAAAATGGAAAAAGTACAGTGTGTCATATACTCAAAGTTAAATTCAGAATAATGTAAAGACTACAAAAATTAAGGAACCCCAAAAAAGCAAATCATCAGAAAAAAGGAGGAATCTTTGAATCAGAATCAGGCACCTAGATCATGAAACTTGACAAGAAACATGATTCTCAAATACCCAGAAGCTAAAGTCTCAAAATTTATCCATAAAACATAAATGGAAAGATCAAAGTGGAGAAGGATTACACAACAATGGTGCCTCCAGATGCTTGAGCCCCAAAACTAGTTGATGGGAGTGAGCTCAGGGAAATTATTAATAGGTCAAGATCCAAGAAAGTAGCGAAATGCGTGGAAAGCGTGAAGGAAGTTGGAAACTTGGAGGTGATAGTTGGCTTTATTGAGCCTCACGAGAAGTCATGGAAATCAAGGTATTTATATAAAAATTTAGAAAAATAAGAGTAAAATTCACTTTTTCATTCTCTCTCTCTCTCCAGAATGCCACCTAGTCCAACTTTCCTCATTTTAGTCCCCGTTTCTAGGCTCCACTTGGCACCCGGCGGAGCCGTCATCAGCCACCCACCTGTCCCTTTCAACCCTAAAGTTTCGGAATTCATGAAAAATCAAACAAATATACATGTAATTTTTGTAAAATTTCAGATTTTTTTTTTCTTTTAATTATGGAGTCTGGAATCCATCTGTTGAGTTATTTATTCTTCTGCTTCGCATTCATCAAGGCTTACTTAATCTCCCATTTATTGTTGCAACCCCCCCCCCCTAACATAATGGTGCACAGTTGTCCATTAGATAGCAGATAAAATGCATAT